TGTTGGAGTATCCAGAACATAGAAGCCAAGGATCGTCTTAACCTGTTAGGATCCATCTACTAAAATATCACTTTTGGGTGGACTTTAAGGGGCTACATATGAATTTCATGAGATCGTTATTTACAGTAGTTAAACATATTTTCTGATCTATTTTTTATGGAACTGTGTATTATAAATAATGATAAATGCATATTACAGTGCTCTCGAAGTTGTGGAAATGGCATGCAATCCCGGGAAGCCTACTGTATGAACAACCTTGGACACCGTTTGGTTGATCGAGAGTGCAATGAAGATCATAAAATTGTAACCCAGACCTGTAATGAACATTCTTGTCCTGTCTGGATTAGCAGTGAATGGAGTGAGGTAGGATTTATGGACAAACATATTCTAAAGGTGTTGAATGTTACTACTAAGTATGTTGTGTTAGCACGCCTTACTGCAGATGATTTTAGGTCAGTCAGACTGGAACTCTGAATTCTGTAAAAGCATATATATGGTCAAAATATAAAATCATATATTAATTTCCCCATTGTATTTCAATCATTTCTTGCCTACTCTTATTGATCTGAACAATCTTGAAGTTTGTAAACTTTGTGAAGATCCTCACACATTTACTTCCTTGAATGCTGTGACAAATATTCACTATTCCCTGTTAAGAGGCACCGCTGTGGCAGAGAGTTTACTGAGCCTGCCTTCTAAACTACAGAGGTGCTCAGAAGTTAAAGGAGGTGGAGTCAGTATAGGAATCACTATATTGCAGGCAGAATATTACCATGGGTTATGTAGTCCTTCGAAATAAAAAGTAAACAAAGTGAGGGGAAGCTGCAAAGCAGGGGACGCAGGCAGTTGTGGAAAGGGACAGCTAGCATGTAGGCAGCCGTCGAGCTTTAACAGTGCTATGTTGATACCATTGGTGACACAACACCCATGATACCCAAATTTATGACTGTGTTCTAAAAATCAGATAATGCAAACAGTTATCTGCATACAATCAGTTATTGCTTGAACAAGCAAACTGTATGCTTGCAGAATTCACTAACAATGATAGTTTGCAGTAGATTCTACACTGCAGCATCTGATCATATGCCAGCTAAACCCCAGAATTAATATTATATTCTCTACTGTTTTTGGGTCTCTGCAACAACTGTTAGTAATTTTGATTGCACACATCGGAAAAAGACTGTTTTTATAGAAGCCTGCAAAAAATCTTATTTTGTTAGAAATCTCAATGATCCATGTATGGGGAACCTTGTGCTCATGTGTAGAAGTTCAAGAGATTACATATGCATTTGGTTGGCAAACAGATTCCAATAATAAACACCTGTACATACAGGTACATATGTACATATGACTTTAATACAACAGTGTGTCACATTTTTGTAGATATAGCTTGGAGCATGCAGGTGTTATTGCCTAGCATGCTGGTGATATATTTTTTTTTTTTTATTCAGTAACTTTTTTTTTATAAAATGTGTCCATATGCATTCTGTGGTGTACAGTATAAGAGCAGAAGGCACAACATTTTTTTTTTTTTTTATAATAAACATGCTCAACAAACTAGGACTGCACTATAGGCATTGAACATTAGTCTGCGATAGGCTAGTTAGATCCAGTGATTGTGGTCATTGTTGAATAAAGCTTAGCCTAATGGTCTATTACTGTAGCAAACAGTCCCTCATTCTCTAGTGCTGTATTGGAAATTTAGAACTTATTCACATATGGATATATGAGTGTTACACTGCATATCAACACACATGTAAAATACAGTAAAAGACACCAGTGCCATAGCACATAATTGGATGATGGAAGTTAGCAGAGCTTCACTTCATTCATTAAGATAGGGGATATTTCCCTTGAAAATGGGACAGTCTATGGCAATAGCAGCTTCCATATATCCCATAGTGCAAATTTCAGGCTTAAAGTCTTTTTATGACTTTTTTTTATGTTTTTTATTTTTAAGTGCCTGGTGACATGTGGAAAAGGTAACAGACGTCGTCATGTGATGTGTCAGTCCAATGATGAACAACTGAAAGACAATTATTGTGACCCAAACAACAAACCTGAGTCAGTTATATCCTGCGAGCTTCAAGAATGTGCTTATTGGCATATGGGACCATGGGGACAAGTATGTATAAATTGAATATATGCCTCGTTCATGATGATTTACATTGTGTAAATGGCACTGTATATTTAGTTAGGATGGTTTTATAATGTACACATGCCTACTTTGTACCTATTTTACACAAGTTTTTTACAAAGGTAAATTTGCCAGTTTCCTTCTGCCATTTGACTCAGCAGAATAAAAACACTTTTGGTAGTCCGATGTTAGCAATACAATTTTCTTTCTTTTTTAAATACCTACATATTATTGTCTTCTGTTGTAATATCTGATCAGTTGAGTATTCTTGAACGCCTTAAAAATGACCACTCATACTGTAATTATGTTTTGTAACAGTGTTCAGTTACATGTGGACAAGGCTACCAACTTCGAACTGTAAAGTGTAGTACAGGAACTTATGAGCCAGGTTTGGATGAACGTGAATGCAATGCAGCTTCTCGACCAACGGACAGTCAGGCAAATATTCTTTTTTTTTTTTTTTTTAATTAAAACAAACTGTGTATTGAGATTGCACAAACTAAAATTACAAGCACACTGAGAATGTAAATACAGTGGTTGCAGAGATGAAAAGGGCATAATAGCATAGCATGTAATGTACAACATCAGATAAGGCATAACATCTACATGGGGCATATACATACAGTACACGTACTGCACATTACGTACATAAATTATATGTCACAGCTGTGTTCATCCCAACTTTGTACACCAGCTGGGATGAAATGTAGAATATCACAATAAACAATAATAAGAACACTAAGACTAGAACCTAGTATCAGAAATGTCTGGAAAAAAAAAACATCAACTGTCAAACAACCTCTATCATATTCATATTTGATAATGGTATGTTCAGTACTGTTCAGACCTCAATTTCATCTAATGTTTAGAACTTAGCAAATATTCTATTTTAATTTGAATTCTGCAAAATAAAATGGTAATAAATAAATATAAACTAATGCACACATTACACAGTATTGCCTTTTTTCATATTGGCGTTAGTGTTCTTCTAATTATTGAGAAGTTGTATTTATTTTAGTCTTATATCTGCAGGATTGTGAAAGGATTCCTTGTCCAGTACAGTCCCGTATATTACCAACTATCTCTCCTGCAGATCAAGTACAAAAGAATGCACAGTGGAGATATGGGTCATGGACGCCAGTAAGTGTCATGCAATCCTTATTTGGTCTACATTGCAAACTGTCTGGACACATCTGACCCTGTAAAGGCTGCTGTGTCTAGCACTTACAGTATATGGGTTGTGACAGGAAGAATATACAAAATCTACTTTTCTTTTATTTATTTTTTAAAGAGATTTCAGATAAGTACCAGAAATAACTATGATGTGAATGCAAGTCAGAGGGAATTTCTTCCCTTTTTTTTTCTTTACTGTGTACCATTTTTCAGAGTTTGTAAACCAACTGTCAGGAATGGACTTGCCAGTAATGGTGGGACTCACCTGCCTTGTGGGCTGCAGTACCAGGGCTGGCCAGCGGGTGCTCCCAGCAATCAGAGACTCAACCCTGCAGCCAGCCAAACACCTGAAGTTGATTATACAGGTGTATTTTTAAGGGATGGCCAGACCTGCAGTCTCTGCCTTGGTGTGTGTTTTTCCTGGGCCCTGTATCTTGTTCCTGCATTCCTGTTCCTGTTCCTGTCCTGTCCCTGTCCCTGTCCCTGTCTCTGTCCCTGTCTGATTCGTTGCTGACCCTGCCTGATCCGGACCTCTGCTGACTTCTCCTGTTTCATCCCTGGCTTGTGACCCCGACCATTCTCTGCCTGACCCCCTGTACCTACCTGCCCGATTGTTATTGACCCGGCCTGCCTGACGACGCTTGCATTGTATGTACTGTTATCTGTGGGTGGTTTGGTTTGGTTCGTTTGCACTGTGTTATGTTTTAGTATTGCACTGCGTTTATGTTTGTATTGTTAGTCTTTAATAAATTATATTGTTTATAACTTATCTGAAGCCTGCGTTTCCCTGCGTCAGTCACATACCTCTGGTCACACCCCGGAGCCCTGACATTACACCAAGGCCAATCCTGACCAGAAGTGGCTGCACAGGGAAGCCATCTTGGCTTGTTGCTGGGAAGGATGGATCTTGATGAGGTTGTGTATTTATCTCTGCTAGTGTTTGATGACAGAGAGTATGCTTATCAAACTCTGAAGGAGTATCCAGGGATGAACTGCTAGAATGTATACGGATCGCTCATTGCCTAGTAGATCAGGGCACAGAGTTCTCTGAGGTGCAGCCATTGATTCAGGTTTGTGCTGAGTTGGTTTCATCTGGTACCCCCGAATGCAGGGATGAATTTTTGCCGCCATTTAGTGCCGACCAGGTAGAGTCCCTGGTATGGTTATTAGAGGATGATGTGGATTACTTTCTGGAGCGTTATTCTGCATGTTCACCACAGGTACTAAGAGATTGTATAAACGCAGTGCAGTCATTGACCAGACAGGCTTTGTGTAAACTGAGCTTTGTTCAACCCATACTGCAGACATGGTCAGACTTGTTGCACCCAGCCTCAGTCAGCTTACAACATCATTCCTCCACTCAAGGCACTCTTCCTGCATCCCCGACAGCACCCCCAGTGACTGCCCAGTATACTCTAACTACCACATACCAGTCCTCTGCTCCCACTCGCTGCACCTATCCTTTCTTTAACCCTGTAAAGAAGTCCTCTGTAGCAACTGCTCCCTCCTCTGTTCCATCTTCCAGCTCTTCTCTGTCCTCAGCTGCTCCATTCGTTTGCAGACCTGCGTTTACTTGCAGTGCCCCAGTAGTTAAAACCAGAAAAAAGCGGAAATTCTTTCCAACCAGTACCATCCTGCCAGTATCCAAACCGGTGAGCCTGCCGTCTGAGAACCTGCCTTCCGTGGTTCAGCCTGGTGCCTCGGCACCCGCACTTCAGCCTGATGCCTGTACCCAGCCTGATGCCTGTACCCAGCCTGATGCCTGTACCCAGCCTGATGAACTGATCCAGCCTGATGATCCTATCACGCCTGATGACCCAGTGCCCGCTGTCGAGCCAGACGATCCGGTACCTGATGACCCGGTGCCCACTGTCATGCCTGGTGACCCGATGCCCGCTGTCGAGCCAGACGATCCAATGCCTGATGACCCAGTGCCCGCGGTCATACCTGGTGACCCGATGCCCGCTGTCGAGCCAGACGATCCAATGCCTGATGAACCAGTGCCCGCTGTCATGCCTGGTGACCCGATGCCCGCTGTCGAGCCAGACGATCCAGCGCCAGATGACCCGGTGCCCACTGTCGTGCCAATTGACTCAGAGCCCACTGTTGTGCCTGGTGACTCGGTGCCCACTGCCTTGCCAGATGACGCGGTGCCCGCTGTCGAGCCAAATGACCTGATGCCTGGTGACCCGATGCCCGCTGTCGGGCCAGACGATCCAATGTCTGACCCAGTGCCCGCGGTCATGCCAGTTGACTCGGAGCCCACTGTCGTGCCTGGTGACTCGGTGCCCACTGCCTTGCCAGATGACGCGGTGCCCGCTGGCGAGCCAAATGACCTGATGCCTGGTGACCCAGTGCCCGCTGTCATACCTGGTGACCCGATGCCCGCTGTCGAGCCAGACAATCCCATGCCTGATGACCCAGTGCCCGCTGTCATGCCTGGTGACCCGATGCCCACTGTCGGGCCAGACGATCCAATGTCTGACCCAGTGCCCGCGGTCATGCCAGTTGACTCGGAGCCCACTGTCGTGCCTGGTGACTCGGTGCCCACTGCCTTGCCAGATGACGTGGTGCCCGCTGGCGAGCCAAATGACCTGATGCCTGGTGACCCAGTGCCCGCTGTCATGCCTGGTGACCCGATGCCCGCTGTCGAGCCAGACGATCCAACGCCAGATGACCCGGTGCCCGCTGTCGATCCAGACGATCTGGTACCTGATGACCCGGTGCCCGCTATCGTGCCAATTGACTCAGAGCCCACTGTCGTGCCTGGTGACTCGGTGCCCACTGCCTTGCCAGATGACGCGGTGCCCGCTGGCGAGCCAAATGACCTGATGCCTGGTGACCCATGCCCCTGTCATACCTGATGACCCGATGCCCGCTGTCGGGCCAGACGATCCAATGTCCTGACCCAGTGCCCATGGTCATGCCAGTTGACTCGGAACCCACTGTCGTGCCTGGTGACTCGGTGCCCACTGCCTTGCCAGATGCCTGATGCCTGGGCCCGATGCCCGTCGTCGTGCCTGATGACCCGGTGCCCGCCGCTCCGCCTGGGGGCCCGGCGCCCGTGCCCCGCTCCGCCTGGGGGCCCGATGCCGTCGCCGCCGCCTGGGGGCCCGGATGCCTGTCGCCCCGCCTGGGGGCCCGATGCCTGTCGCCCCGCCTGGGGGCCCGGATGCCTGTCGCCCCGCCTGGGGGCCCGGTGCTTGCCGCTCCGCCTGGGGGGGGGCCCGGCGCCTGCCGCCCCCCCTGGGGGCCCGATGCCTGTCGCTCCGCCTGGGGGCCCGATGCCTGTCGCTCCGCCTGGGGGCCCGATGCCTGTCGCCCCTCCTGGGGGGTGGCCCTCGCTCCGCCTGGTGGCTGGTGCCCGCTGCTCCGCCTGGTGATGCCCGGTGTCCTGCTCGATGTGCCTCTGCCCGGAGTCCAGCTCGATGTGCCTCTGCCCGGAGTCCAGCCCGATGTGCCTCTGCCCGGTGTGCCCTGCCCGGAGTGCCCCTGCCCGATGTGCCGCTGCCCGGAGTCCTGCCCGATGTGCCCGATGCCTGGCGCTCCGCCTGGGGGCCCGCTGCCTGTCGCCCCTGCCTGGGGGCCTGCCTGTGCCCCGCCGCTCCGCCTGGGGGCCCGATGCCTGTCGCCCCTCCTGGGGGCCCGATGTGCCAGCTGCTCCGCCTATCCCGCCCGCCAGACCCGCCTGCTGGCCCGGTGCCCAGCTAGCTCCGCCTGGTGGCCCGGTGCCCGCTCCTCCGCCTGGGGCCCGGTGTCCAGCTCGATGTGCCTCTGCCCGGAGTCCAGCTCGATGTGCCTCTGCCCGGAGTCCAGCTCGATGTGCCTCTGCCCGGAGTCCTGTCCGATGTGCCTGTGCCCGATGTGCCTCCTGCCCGATGTGCCGCTGCCCGGAGTCCTGCCCGATGTGCCGCTGCCCGAAAACCCTGCCCGATGTGCCTGCCCCGCCCTGCCCGGAGTCCTGCCCGATGTGCCGCTGCCTCCACCCCCCATGTGGAGTCCTGCCCGATGTGCCACTGCCCGTGCCTGCCCGGTGTGCCGCTGCCCGATTGTGCCTCTGCCCGATGTGCCGCTGCCCGGAGTCCTGCCCGATGTGCCGCTGCCCGGAGTCCTGCTCGATGTGCCGCTGCCCGGAGTCCTGCCCGATGTGCCAGTCTTTGATATCCCGCCAGTTACCAGACCCGGGCGGTGGAACATTTTGCCCAGCTAGGACTGTTTGGAGCGTCCTGAGGCCGCTCCTTGAGGGGGGGGGGTACTGTCAGGAATGGACTTGCCAGTAATGGTGGGACTCACCTGCCTTGTGGGCTGCAGTACCAGGGCTGGCCAGCGGGTGCTCCCAGCAATCAGAGACTCAACCCTGCAGCCAGCCAAACACCTGAAGTTGATTATACAGGTGTATTTAAGGGATGGCCAGACCTGCAGTCTCTGCCTTGGTGTGTGTTTTTCCTGGGCCCTGTATCTTGTTCCTGCATCCCTGTTCCTGTTCCTGTCCCTGTCTGATTCGTTGCTGACCCTGCCTGATCCGGACCTCTGCTGACTTCTCCTGTTTCATCCCTGGCTTGTGACCCCGACCATTCTCTGCCTGACCCCCTGTACCTACCTGCCCGATTGTTATTGACCCGGCCTGCCTGACGACGCTTGCATTGTATGTACTGTTATCTGTGGGTGGTTTGGTTTGGTTCGTTTGCACTGTGTTATGTTTTAGTATTGCACTGCGTTTATGTTTGTATTGTTAGTCTTTAATAAATTATATTGTTTATAACTTATCTGAAGCCTGCGTTTCCCTGATCTAGATTCCCTAGAACACTAGACCATCATAGAAACTATGCAAAGATAAAAGCATCCCTCAAAGCTCAAATGTTTATAATCCTGTGATTCCACACATACTGACTGGTTCAGCTGCAAAAGGGCTCATCTTGCCTGAATAGATAGACAGAAATAGGAGCACACACCGATGCCGCCCAGTTCTAAGACTTTAAAGCAGGCTTCAGCTTTGCCTCCTCCCAGACCACACCCTCTTTCTAACGCATTTCATCTACTCCTGAGCTTAGTTTCAAAAGTCCTCCTTTATAGCTGCGGGAAGGTTGGAAATGAGTTTGGTGACTGAGTGTGAATGTTTTCAGGGGACAAAATATTGAGAAAAACACAGTTCTACCTACACATTTGATCTTTGTGTATCATGTTTTGCACTGAATAACTACTTTCATTTAAAATATCAGCATTTTACTTAACACCAGTTTTACTGTCTTATATAAAGCCTTCAGCTCTTGCAGAGGGTCATGCTGCAATTTATTGTGTAATTCTAGTGCTCTGCCTCTTGTGGAAGGGGTAATCTCGCTCGATATGTCAGTTGTCGAGATGCACTGGGCGGAGTAGCTGATGAATCATTTTGTACATATTTACCACGTCCATCTGAAGTCTCTAGCTGTTTTACACCATGTGGAGAATGGCAATCTGGTGACTGGTCTCCTGTAAGTAAAAGTACCGGTGAAAAGATAATTTTATATAAAAATCATTATGTAATGGGTTAACCTGTGGTTGACATTCTTATGTTTGAACAGTGCCCAGTAACATGTGGAAAGGGAAAAGTTATGAGACAAGTTGTTTGTACAAGTTATCACGGAAGGATTGATAATGAAAACTGCGATCCTGAGAGCAGGCCCAATGTAGAACAAGACTGCAATATGACACCATGTCAAATACACAATCATTTTCCTGGTAATCATAACCATCCGATGCTGTTTCCACAACCAGAAAGCCCACAAAAGTCTAGAGAAAATGATCTACACAACTCCATCAACCAAAGAAACAAGCCTGCTCGGGGGAATCGGTGGAGGACTGGACCATGGGGAGCAGTAAGATATATTTTGCTACTAAAAATACAACACTTTGCATCTATCTTTTTATAATTGTAATTCCTGAATTTGACATGTGTGAATTCAGCCAACCTTACATATCTTTTAAGCATTTTTTGTCCTAAATTCTTTTCTTATTTTTGTTGATTTTAGTAAATAATTTGGTCTTTGTGCTAGTCATTTATAGTCTTCCTTTTACCAGTGCAACAACAGAGAAGTATAGTGATTTTGCTTTGTACTCTTTCGAAAGTATTTTCAACTTTTTACCTTCTGCTTTTTAAATTTTATTGTTCATTGCTTTGTATCCAGGTCTTCTTCATCTCAGACTTTTTTACACAATAATAGTTTTAATATTAATAACAGTATTAATTCCCTTTAAATTTCTTATATAGTGTTCCAGCACTTGTGCAGGTGGTTTTGAGCGCCGGGTTGTTGTATGCCAAGATAGTGAAGGAAGAATTAGTCATTTTTGCGATGAGACAACTAAGCCTGCAGAATCAAGACATTGTGATTCTGGACCTTGTCCTCGTTGGAACTATGGAATCTGGGGAGAAGTAAGAATATATATATATTATTTATATGATGATGTTGTCACTTGGAGAAATCGTAATATAAATAATGAACAATATGGATGCCATTTACTAGATGAATGTTCAGTATGGCCATTGATGAACTTCAGTCAGTGACAAAGGCACATGTGCATTAAATAACCTATGATATTTCTACAGAATAATTCAACTTTTTATAAATTTTTTTTTTTTTAAACAGTTCAAAATTCGCTTAACATCTAGATAGATAAGCTTTTTGTCTATGTTACAGTTACTATCAAGTGGTCCAGAAAAGGTGTTAACTTGTCAAAACTATCAATAGATATAATGGTGTAGTGAAGAAAATGTAAGGATGCCCTTAGTTTTAGAAGTTGCTATTTTCCATTTTCCAAAAATTGCTGCTAATAGGTGTTTTACAAACCTGCCTACCCACCAGTCTCTAACATTGACTCAAAACTTTTCCAAGCAAAATTCCTTCAGTTGCAAGATGGTTGTGGGTTTCCTTGCATGAACTGCCCATCTCAGTTACCCCACAACATTTCAATGGGATTCCTATCAGGGTTTTGACTTGG